CTGATGAACAGGTTCATCATTCGCTCTCACGCGTCGATCACTCTCTTGTTCGAGTCGATAGGTGTCTCTTATCCACCCTCTTACACATTACTTTTCGCTTCCATCAGTTTGTACAATGACAGCTGTCGTCGTATCCCCATTTTCAATGGGCCAAATCGCATAAAGACCCAGGATAATGAAATATTCACCAGATAATATTCTTCAGTTCATCTCTGTGAAGCAGAAGACAGCTGATTTCGATCTTCGGCTGTCTGCTTCCCAGGATGAGGTGGTTTACTCATTTCTTCAATAATGCATTAAGCATGGTCAGACCATGTGCTACTAAGATCAATAGAAATTTCTCGTCGTCCTCATTTAAATGTCTGAGCGCCTTACTGAAGATTTTGCCATATTCATTTTGTTGTTTATCGAAGTGCCATCAAAATTGTCGCCCGTAGTAACTTTCTCATTCTGTGGTGTTTTGAAGCACGAGATTTACGCTTTCTCAGAAATTAGTCCTCCTCACCATCATTAGCCCTTTTCGATCCACTGCCCGAATGAAGGCCTCTCGAAGACTTTGCCATAAACTTAAGCTTCGTACAATTCCTAGCCAGAGAACTTCTTCAACTCATCCTGCCATGGTTCTACAGATTTTTCGATGAGAAGTTTGATCGCTTTTGAAGCTCAATTTAATGTCACTCTGGTCCAGCGATGAACGGTACTCCCTGAAACGTGTCCTGTCCACTGCGAAGTTAACTTCTTCATCCTTGTATATACTGTTATCCATTCATTCGTCTTCTTATCTTATCATTTCCAACATACATCTTCCCGTGTTACGTTGGGCAGTCTGTAATTTATGAATAAATTTCTAGCTAAGCACGTACATTTCACATTTATAGGTTAGTACTGACATCGCACATAGATGAATACTTTGAGCTTCAAGCAGAACAGCTGTTTCCAAGAGAAAAACATCCACACGTGACCCATGTCATTTTTGCTTGTCTGTCGATTTCGCATAATTAATTCTCCTTTGCAGAGATCAGAGGTGAACTGCGTCAGGTGGACTTAGCTTTGGAACTCCTCAGGCACAAGCCAAGTGACTTCAGTAGGTCACGGAGTAATGCATTTCTTTAACATTACCTGAACATTACCTAAGTCTTTATAAGGTTCGTTTCCAGCCGTGCTTTGACGTTCAGCTCTTGGATTCTTGTGATAACCTTGAGAGAAACAAAATATCGTAAGCAAACCGCAGGCAGTTTATGTAATGCATCCCTGATCTTCCCAATGGAGTATTTTGTCAACCTCTTCTACGGACGCTGTGAGTACTTTGCTCATTCCGTATTACCCTGTCGATTTTAAACTTGCTGTTGCATTCTTGTAGATCATGCAAATTAGGTCTGTATCTGCTCTCAACACGATGAATACATGAAGGTTCAGCTAAATCTGTCACGACTTGAAAAAAAACCGAGAATCGACAGCCCATCGGTTCGAAACGAATAAAATGACTGTTAATCATGGCTTTGACAGCGCTGTTTGAACCGTTTGAAATATGGTGAAGTTTCGCCGGCAAAGTTCGGTAGCTATGAGATGCGATGAGTTCTGAGGGCCTTTGTTAACGCTTCACTCCAAAGTGACAGACAAAACGATAGAGAATAAATGCGTCATTAAAAAATGCTTATTCAATCATACTTGTCAGACATGATCTTCGAACAGTTTATAATTAAACGAAAGAGGTCTCCCTCTTTGCTGAATGACGAATAGCTGGCAAAACGAAAGACAGCAAGCCGTTAATTAGGTAATCGCTTTACAATGTACAATCATAGTTTTCAGTAGTATCAAAGAAATATTTCCTGCGGCCGTGTCAGTTGTTTCTTGTCTCTCACACCACTTGTCCCTTGTGATGGGGGGAGGCATTTGTAGCACCATTCATTTGCTGAATTTATGCAGTCACGGTGTTTTTCCATTTCGATGCGATCAGTTAATGTATACTGTTTAGGGAGCCACTTTCAGACGTTCGCTGCACTCTTGCAGTTTCTCTCCACACACCGTTACTTATTTATGAATTTTCAAAGGACCCTAATTGTCATTCAAACTCTAACTTCAAATCCTCCGATTGTCACGTAGATGCTCAGTTAATTGAACTAGCTTTCCATGCTTTCGCATGCAAATGACGAGTAATTTGATGCTTTTTAAAAGCGGCTGAAGAACCACTCATCAATTAACCAGTCAAGTTTTTGTACTTGAGCTGAGCAAGGAGCGAGGCGGATCACCGCTACATAGAACAACGATACATCATCAGCCGCAATTCGTCGTTGGGCACATGACTAAAGAGAATGGTGAAAATTTAACAGACCTGAAAAACGCGACAAGTTCAGTTTCTGAACAGACGCCTGCTTTTCGCTCCTCAAAAAACATCCTGGATTTGTCGGACTTTCGTCTGCATCTGTTTCGGGACAGAATCCAACGAGCATACCGTTAAAGACAGCATTTTTCTTACAACTGTAAGAAAACCAGTACCTCAGTTCCTTAAATGACCATTTATTTCAGTAACTAAATATAGTGTACAACGCTAATACTACAGTTAATTAGAATGATCAATGTTGATTAATGTCTCCAATCGGCCGGTACTCTACAAAATGAAAAAAAAGGTATGCTTTTCAATTAACGATAAACAACGCAGGCGGATGTGATCCCTGTTGGCTCCAACAAAGATAAATCAAGGAATCGATGAACTTTCTAAAAATAGATCAGTGGACTCAAGAGCTTCGGTTGATTTACTCTGCATAGTCTGAGAAGGAATAAACTGCAATGCACCACAGCGATCAAATATTTCCTAAACAAATGGGGTTCCAAGCGAAAGGGAATGATACACTTAAAACTTCGTTAAGTACTATCATTACACCGTCTATCGACCCAAAAGCACGACCGTTACGTGGATAAACGTTTTATCCGTAGCGGTGTCATCAATCAAGAGTTGAAGTAGCTGAATGAGTAGGGAGAACAATGACATAAGTACGATAGGCAGTGAAGAACGTGGTCTGGTGGGGAAACCCTGTCCCAGTTTATACAGCTATTATTAAGCTAAACGTTTTCATCAAAAAAAACCTTTGTAGAAATGATACTTTTAAAAGTAACAAATGTTTCTTCCACAGAAAGTTTTTAGTGGATCAAGGTATTGATGTTAAATTAAAGTTTGCAAAGCTTTACTAAATTAATAGTTACATTTCATTTACTGTTCAATAGCTTAATATGAAATCGATGAGTACGCTACTACGACTCAATCTGAAACACGATCTGCAATGATCTTCTCTCTCAGCTAAGGTTAATTCTGCGTGACATCGACCTTGACGAAGTTGCCCACCCCTCCCGACACTCCATCTGAAAGCATCTACAGTGTCCTGAAGATACCGCTGGAAGGTAGTTCATGATTTGTATTTGGAGAGAACCAAAGTGTGTTTGCGTTTGGATAAAGGCGTAGATGTATATTAATAAAATAAATGACTTTTTAAACTAATGCCAACAACTTCGCACTGTGACTGACTGGATACATCTAACCACGGAAATCAGAAGATTTATATACTTCTAAATTAATTAAGCCGAGAAACAAACTTTAACTTTAGACACATGGATTTCTGGAAATAGAAGCAAACGTAAATTTAAATATGTTATAATACCGAGCCAAGTCGAATTGACCATATGGGTTTCTTCATGAGCATTCATCTTACTGCGCATCGTTCTGCGCAGATTGTTTTCAGAGCGTTCCTCTTTCCCAGATTGTTTCTAGCCGGACTGATCCGCTAGCAGCAAAATGCATGACAAGGTATCTTCAAGACACCGTATTCCGCTTCAACAGAACTCGTGGCATGTCCGTACCGAGGCATGCCACAAATTAATGTACCTTGCTTTAAAGCCTTCGCTTTGTTTCAATGTTCCCAATGCAGATACTCCTATCGAAATCATTCGGGTAGTCTCTTTTTCATGTATTAAGTGTATCACTTAAATTAGGAATTTCCAAAACATCTCTACTCCTTATCTAGTCATGGATCGCTTGAATCTTTCGTTTCAATTTCCTCGGTAGTGAATAACCAATAAGAAGCACGTTTTAAATTCTTCAATGACATTTCTTTCCTGATTCCCGTTGCATCCGTTGAACTCCCGCTCGACCTACTTGAACTGTTTTTAAAT